TAACAGATTTACACTGTTGACAAAACACGTCACAGGCTCACATTCTTCTTTTTGTAACAAAGATTTGTCACATAATTTTTAATTAAAAATACAGATCTTCTCATTTTTGCATTCAGGTTGAAACATAAAATAAATCTTAACAATGATCTAAAACTTTGTCTTAATTATTTTCATTTATATTTGAATTTACATATTTTTAGAAGGAAGATTCTGGTTGGCCGTAGAGTGCAGGCAATTTGGTTAAAAAGTGCACTTTTCAGAAAATAAACTTTTTCCTGGACCTCGCGATAAAATAGTAAGGTCATAATATTTTAATGAGTGCTACAGTCCGTGCGTATATAATGTTTGTTTTAAAACCTTTTTAATGCTGTGAAAAATATATGAGATTTCCATAAAATAATCTATTTTTGGATAACGCTTCAGTACATAATCACCAGTTGCCTAGACGACGACAGATAGAATATTGATAAAAAAAAAACCCGGATGTTTCAGTACAAAATTAAATGAAAGACACGGAAGGTTCGTGGAAGGAAAATGAAATTTTAGAGAGTTCTGTGACACGCGGAGGGATATTGTAATTCTTGGTCATCAGCTTCAAGTTTGCTAAGTTTTGAGGGCGTTGAAGTTCCTTGCGGTAATTAGAATATTTCCTGGAGTTTCTTTGGCCTGTCTTGGTCGTTCGCCTTTCCATACGGATTACTTGCATTTTGAGGGTTATTCTTTGTCCTCAAGTCGACGATCTCACTTTCTTGAGAATGGTATTCAAGAAATTTCTGTCCGGAACCTGAATGTCTCTCTCCGGCGTAAAGATCACCGTAGCTGGACCAGTTCTGTCGAGTCAACCTCAAAACCTCTTTGTCCACTATCCTCTTCAATTGTCTTTTGTTGTATGTACCGGATCGTGTCTGAGGTCGTGGAAAGAGAGCAGTTTCGAATTAATTGGGCGCATCCTCACGTGCATAAAAGCAAAATTTGTCTTCAGTTATTGCTTAATACGTACGTTGTAATCGTGTATAGTTGATAAACTGCCATTAAATTAACTAACGAAGAAGAAGATGATGCAGAATTGGTGTTTTTGCCCTATGGAGTTGGTACAACTCATTTCAATGAAATACCTGGATTGTGCGAATCGTGAGGTTGGTAGCAGACACCAACGTCGTGGGAGAACGGAAATTAAGCCAGAACCTTAAATATTGACTTGAACTATAAATGAGTTTGTGGTGCAACATAAATTTGTACAGGCTGTTCATAAATTATCTTTACAACTTTACTCGTGAGTAGAATCTTTATGACCCACTGAACATTCATCTGTGGCAGAAACTCTCATCGAAGTTGCTTTCGGCATGAGCGCCATTTGTAACACCACTAAACACTGCGTGTTGCAGCCATGCGCGGAGTCGGAAGAATTCCGAGAGCAGCAATGTTCTGCCTATAACAGCGTGCCGTACGAGGGAGCTCTTTTGCAGTGGACGGCTCATCAAGACGACGCCGAGCCTTGTGCTCTGGCGTGCCGAGGACGCCCTGCGGGTGAGCCTGTCACACAGGAGGAGCCGATCGTCGTGCAACTGGCACCAAAGGTTCAAGACGGAACTCGCTGTCGGCCCGGCAGTCTGGACATGTGTATCAACGGGAAGTGCCAGGTGAGTGGAAAGTTCCAGCCTTTTCTCTTATCCCCTCGAGACTTCGCTTCTCACATTGAGGATAAGGTGGACGAAGCTTTACTCTTTTGTTATCATATGAAAGTGATTTCCAGCTTTCAAGAAATAATTACATCGATTCATTTTAGATCGCAAGGTTACACATTGTAACAGATGTCCTGAACAATGTAAGACGCCAGTCGAAACAGTTCCGTGCCTGGTAACAGACGTGCGCCATTGTTATGGAACCTCAGAATCTGCGCATTATTACTGAGAACGCCTTAAGTTCCCGAGAATTAAGTAAGTTAAGTTGCAACACCTTTGTCCTTTCTGACGAAGATCACCAGAAACGTTCCGGAAAGTTCTCTCTGCTTTCGGACTGAGACAAAGTCGGAATATTTCATAAAGATGAACCACCTTCTCATTGCAGAAACATTGCCCGTAATACATTCAGTGGTCTGTTTTGGAGGGGGGGGGTGTGGTTGTAAAGTGGCCTTTGAAATCACCGGACTTCACATCCTTCGCCAGCGTAGATTAACTCAGTATACGGATCTCTACGTCTCTTAAAACAGATTCTGAGTAGTGTTTGGGTAAAATCTCGTATCTGCTAGATGTCGGAGGCTCAATGAAATTTTATGAACTCGGCAAATTACTGAGAGATGTTTCGGGTCTTTTCCTCAGTGTGGATAATGACTCAGAAAGTTGGCATCGAAAATTCATGGAGCGTCTTTCTGGAAACCGTTCCCATGTCACATCTGACAATTGAGCTTTTTGGGTTCGTGAGCCTGTGTTTGAGTTTTTGTGTGTTTCAGCGAGTGGGCTGCGACCTGAAGATCGGATCAGCGAAGAAGGTAGACGCGTGCGGCGTGTGTGGTGGCGATGGGCTCTCCTGTGCGCGGCCTTTGTACCACTGGGAGGACGCCGACATGTCGCTGTGCTCTACTACCTGCGGCGGAGGTCAGTTCAAACCCAGAGCTTTCCTTCAATTTCCGCGTCATTCTCGTTCTTAAGAATATCCAATACGTGACGCGTGGCGTCTATCGCCTCCTCGCCTTGACTTCCGTTTGGCAAGAATTGTTTCTTGTTCTTTCAACCGACGCGACACTGTTACGTATTGCACGGTTTTAAAAAAAAAGTTGACAAAGCTTCCGCACAGATTCCAAAGAAAGATGACCCAACTCGGTTTGATTTTCCGTTCACGAAGACAAGTCGCTCGGCGTCGGATTGAGTTTGTGGTCTTTCCTTAAAGAGAAGACGACGAATTGTTTGTTGATTGTATCGCGGGTCACGTCTGGAGTTCGCGGTCCTCTTTCGGATGCTGCAGAGTTGCTGCTATCCGAGCACGCCCCAGCGGTTCTGATCTGGCCGCCGTCCAGACCGCGAAATTACCAGACGCGGTCACCGCAGTTTCGTGGAGACGATTCGCTGTCTTTGTCATCAGTTTTTGTAAGCCGACGAGACTGCACAAACTGTTTTGTCATTCTTCCTGCCTCAGCCGGGTCTTAGAGGAAACGTCCGTGACTGTCGCCTAAACGTCGGAATTTGAGATATTCTTTGAACCATGAGCGAATCTTGGCTAATTTATTAACTTCATGACACAGAATCTCCATTTAAAGGTGGCAGTCATTCAGGTGATAAAGAAATTAATTAAACATTTTTTTAATTCGAAGGTTCATCATCGATGTGCAAAATTCTGGGTACAATTCACAAACCTTTCTTTCTAGTCCTCCGAATGTTTTACATCGATCATTTATTTATCTTTTGACACAACACGACTCCAAAATATGACCCATCGTCGTTAAACGCGCATCAGCCAGAGTTTGATCGGTGTCTCTGTATTTCAGGGTACAAGATGTCGGGGCCCGTTTGTATGAACCGCGTCACGGGCACGAAAGTTGAGGAGCCCCTGTGCAACGCATCTCAGCGGCCTGATCGCAAAGTGGTCCAGTGCAACTCTCACCGCTGTCCAGCGAAGTAAGGCACTTGCACGTCTTAATTATCGATGTTGACCCTCATTCCTGCAGATGGAGGCGCTGTGTTCTTGTCCCTCGCACCTTGACAGCCCAGAAGACCGACACCGACGTATTCGCCGCCATGAGAACACAAAAATCATGCGTCAGTCAGCGTCTGCTGACTCTCGAGCTGTCATTGGCTTGAATCTTCTCCGACCGTCGCCTTTTCTTTGAACTTGCGCGGTGTAACGGAGTGGCTTATACAGGGTGTCCACATGAAACCTCCACCATCGAAGCGAAACCTACGCCAGATAGAAACACGCGGTT